TTTCGGCGGACACAACATCTTTGTTTGTATGTGGTGCTGAGGATTGAACCCCAGCCACACGCATGCCAGGCAAGCGCGCTACCGCTTGAGCCACATCCCCAGCCCCTTCTTTTCCTATTTGTATCACTCTAATTTTCTTCTCTTGCCTGATTGCTTTGGCTAGTGTTTCAAAAATTATATTGAGTAAAAGTGGTGAGAGTGGGCATCCTTGTCCTTTTCCTGATTTTGGAGGAAAACCTTTCAGTTTGTCTCCATTCAGTATGATGTTGGCTTTGGTTTGTCATATATATCTTTATAATGTTGAGGTAAGTTCCTTATATCCCTAGTTCCTCCAGTGTTATTGTTTTTTTAAAACAGTATCTTTTTTATTTAATATTTTTAGATGTTGATGGACCTTTATTTCATTCATTTATTTATATGTGATGTTGAGGGTAGAACCCAGTGCCTCACACATTCTAGACAAGTGCTCTACCACTGAGCCACAACCTCAGCCCATCTCCAGTGTTTTTTAAGTGAATGACTGCTGGACTTTATCAAAGATCTTTTCAGCATCTGTTGAAATGATCATATGATTCTTGTCCTTGATTCTATTTATGTGGTGAATTACATTTATTAATTTGTGTATGTTAAACCAACCTTGCATCCCTGGGATGACACCCACTTGATCATTGTGTACTATATTCTTGATGTGATTTTGAAATATAGTTTGCTAAGATTTTATTAAGAATTTTTACATATTTGTTCATCAAGGATATTGATCTGTAGTTTTCTTTCCTTGATGTGTCCTCGTCTGGTTTTGGTATCAGGGTAATACTGGCTTAATAGATGTATTTGGGACTATTCCTCCCTTTCAATTTCATGCAATAATTTGAGGAACACTGATGTTAGTTCTTCTGTAAAGATTTGGTAGAACTTAGTTGAGAATCCATCTGGTTCTGGATTTTTCTTTGTTGGAAGGCTTTTTTAATTATTGTTTTAATTTCATAACTTGATATTGATCTGTTTAGGTTTTCTATATCTTCCTGGTTTAATTTGGGCAAGTCATATGTGTCTAGAAATTTTTCAATGTCTTCTAGATGTTATCAATTTATTGGCATATAAATTTTCTAAATAGTTTCTAATGATCCTTTGGATTTCAGAAGTGTCTGTGGTGATATGTCCTATTTCATCTATGATTTGTTAATTTGGCCCTTCTCTTTTTTTCTTTTGGTTAGTTTGGCTAAGAGTTTATCAATTTTGTTTATCTTTTCAAAGAACCAGTTCTTTGTTGCATTGATTTTGTGTATTGTTTTATTCTCAATATCATTGATTTCAACTCTAATGTTAATTATTTTCTGACTTCTACTGCTTTGAAAATGTTCATTCTTCCATTTTTAAGGCCTTGAGGTATAGTGTAGCATTAGATTATTTATATGGGATATTTCTGTTTTTTAATATAGGCTGTCAGTGCTATAATCTTTCCTCAAACTGCCTTCATACTCTCCTAGAGATTTTGATATATCCCTACTTTCATTTGTTTCTAACAATTTCTTGATTTCTTCTCTCATTTCTTCCATTCCTCATTTAAAAGAGTATTGTTCAATCTCTATGTGTTTATGTGGTTTCTATAATTTTTTTTTTTTTTTTTTGCTGTTGATTTCTAGTTTCTTTCCACGTGATATGGTAGGTCCATGGGATTTATCAGCTTTTTTTTTTTTTTTTTTTTGTATTTGCTAAGACTTACATTGTGACCTAGAATATGAACTATTTTGGAAAAGTTTCCATGAGCTGCTGAGAAAAAAAGAGAAATCAGCTGTCTTGGATGAAATATTCTATACATGTCTTTTAGGGTCATTTTATTTATAGTATTATTTATTGATTTTATGTTTGGATGACCTGTCAATTGGTGTGTGTGAAACTGGAGTTTGTGATAAAACTCAGTTCTCCACTTCTTCTGGCAGATAGGGTCTATGTAAACTTCAGGCTTCCTCAGTTAAGAAAGTTTATTTTAGTAAGTAATCACAGAAGGGTATGTCTGCCAGTGTCTCTCTGGGGTTCCCAGCCAACAAACCCAGATTCTTTTCCACTACTATTGAGTGGACTGTTGCATTTCTTAATGGTGGGCTATGATGTCATAGCAGACCCCAGCAGCTCACCACCAATCTTTTTCCAGGTTCTTGTCTCATGAATTCAAAGAATGAAATCCACAGATGAGGAACAGTGAGTGTAAGAGTAGGATTTATTCAAGTGGTAAGAAAAAAAGAGACAGAGCTTCTGCAGGGTGAGGGGGACCCAATAGGGGTTGCCACTTCATTGTCCTAGTCTAGGAGTTTATCTAGCTCTTGGGTCAATGCTATTGGTCCAAATTTATGCTAATCAGATTCTAGGAAAGAGCCAATGCTATTTGTCCAAATTTGGAAAGTATCAATGCTATTGTTTAATCATTGAGTCTGAATTTTCCTGCATTCTCCATTCGGGTCTGCCCCAACTTCTGTTTTCTCACTGCTTATCAGGCTAGGCCTGGGTCACTGCAAGGTGACAGGTAAGTTCACCCTGGCTTGCCTCTCCCCTACCTTGCTGCTTCTCAGGCTTGTGCTGGCATGATGGGCTTCATACAGCCTTGGCCCATGCTCACTGCCCCATACTCCAGTTCTACCAGGCTACCACTTGGATACTCTAAACAAAGGCTTGAATTCAGTAGGGGTGTGTTGAAATACCACAGTATTATTGCATTAGACTCTGAGATTTAACATTAAGAAGTTGGGTTATGTTTTTTGTTTTGTTTTGTTTTTGTTTTTTAATGTTATTAGAAGCACTGACATTTGGGGCATAAATATTTACTGTTGTTACATCTTCTCATTGGATTCTTCCATTTACCAGTATGTAATGGCCTTCTTTGTTTCTTCTTATTAATTTTTGCTTGAAATCAGTTTTGTCAGATATGAGAATAGCTACTCCTACTTGTTTTTGCATTCCATTTGCATGGAATGTTTTTCCAATCCATTTACTTTTAGCCTGAAAGCATCTTTGCCTATGAAATGATGCTCTTGCAAACAGTTTTTGGGTGGATCTTATTTTTTAATCCATTCTGTGAATCTGTGTCTTTTAATTGGGGAGTTGAGACCATTTACATTCTGTCTTATTATAAATATTTGTTATTTCCTGCCATTTTGGTCTTGCTTTTCATGTAGTTGCTCTTCTAGTGAACTCGTATTTGGGAGATTTGGGGTTTGTTTTTGAGTTCAATATATCTTTAAGTATTCTTTGTGTAGCTGGTTTAGTGGTCATGAATTTTTTAGTTTATCTTTACTGTGGAAAGTTTTTATTTCTTTATTGATTCTGAAAGATAACTTTGCTGGATATAACAATCTTGGCTGGAAATTGTTTCTTTTAGAGCTTGGAATTTCTTATTCCAGGCCCTCCTTGATTTTTGGGTCTGAGTTGAGAAGTTAGAAGAGAGCCTTATTGGTTTGCTTCTAAGTGTGACCTGGTGTTTTTCTCTTGCTACGTATAATATTCTTAGCATTTTGATTATGATGTGTCTTGGAGAAGTTCTTTTTTGATTTTGTCCAGTTGGTGCTCTATATGCATCCTGACAGTTTTTATCTCATTTCTAAGGTGAGGAAAGGTTTCTGCTATTATCTCACTGAAGAGGTTCTTAATGCATTTAACCTATATCTCATATTCTCTTCCATCCCCATGACTTTCACATTTGGTCTCTTGATGTTGTTCCAGAGTTCTTGTATATTCTGATCATAGTCTTTTTTAAAATTGTTTCCCCATTAGCGCATACTGAGTATTCAAGTTCATGTATCCTCTCTTTAAGGCCTGAAGTTCTGTATTCAAGGCTTGAAGTTCTATTTTTTTGTGTAATCTATTCTGTTGGTGACATTTTCAAATGAATTTTTAATTTGACTCATTGTGTCTTTCATTTCCAGAAGTTCTGATTACTTTCTTTTCAATATTTCTGTTTCTTTATTGAAATAATCTTTTACCTCCCATATTTACTCTTAATTTATTTCTTAGATTTTTAAAAATTCATTGAACATTTTAATAATCAATTTGTTATAGTCTTTATGGAATTTTGCCCACTCCTGTATCTGTGGGTTCTTTTGTTGGGGGATTGTGTATTTTGGGGGAGATTTATTTGCCTATTTCCTAATGTTTTCAAAGATTTTGAACTTGTACATCAATTGAAATGTATTTTTTTTCTTCATGTATGTGTGAACTTTGGTGTGTAGTTATTTTTTGTTGTTGTTGTTCTAGAGTCTTCTGGTTTTTTCTGTATTTTTTATTCTCAATTTAATGGATTTCAGCTATGATCTTAATTATTTCCTTCCTTATGCTGGTTTTAGAATCTGATTGTTCTTCTTTCTCAAGGACCTTTAGATGCATCATTAGGTTGTTTGGGATCTTCTGATTTTCTTACATAGGCACTCATACCTATAAACTTTCCTCTTAGAATTGCCTTCATAGTGTCCCAGAGGTTCTGATAACGCTATATCTCTATTCTCATGTGAGTCTAAGAATGTCTTCTATTACCCTTTATCATTCAAAAGTGTATTGTTCAATCTCCATGTGTTTATATAGTTTATGTAGGGTTTTTTGGTATTGGTTTCTAATTTCATTCTATAATGATCTGATAAGTTGCAAGGAAATTTTTTTATTTGATGAGAGTTGCTTTGTGACCTAAACTATGGTCTATTTTGGAAAAGGTTCCATGAGCTGCTGAGAAGAAAAGAGTATTCACACTGTGGCTGAAATATTCTATAGATGTCTGTTAAGTCCATTTGATTTGTAATATTTTACAGGTCCAAACAGACAAGCTTTGAACTCTTTACTGCCAGAACAACTCTTTTTTCCCCCATAGAATTAACTCTCAGATGATGATGATAATAGTCCTTAAGGATTTCACAGTAGCTTTAATTTCAAAATTTATAATTTATATTTTATAATTTAAAATTTATATTGTTTTGAAGGAATATCGCACATTCTTCTAAATTTTCTTCTTCTTATTCTAGCGTATAAAATCAGGCAGAGATGGCAGTGGGGGCTCCCGTGGCAAAAGAGAGGGAAGTGCTGGCAGTGGTAAGTGTTTCCTGTGCCTGAAAGACTGGGTTTAACAGATTTCTGATACATCAGCTTCTAGAAACATCTCAAAATAATCCAAAGTGTTCTTTATATGTATGTCTGTCTGTTTTACACACAGTAAAGCCTCACTTATTCTAATCTGGTAAATAATCATTCTGGTATGTATGTGAATATTTGTAAATGTTTCATTTTAGTTCTTAAACAACACATTTATTTCTGCTAATTGACTAATGAGTTCAAACTGGACAGATTATCATAGATGGGCATACAAATGAGGTTTTACTGTTACATATTTAAAATTTCCATTTGAAGGAAGTACCATGAGAAGTAGGATGATCTTACAGAATGCAAATAGCCCCAGATCTTTAGTCTGACTTGATATAGATCCAGTGCCAATTGAGGAATTAGGAGACATGGTTCAAGTTTCAGTCTTGATCATGACAGCATATGTATATGTTTTTAGCACAATTGTGTAAGTACTATATACTTTAGATGATTTCTAAAGTTCTTGGCATCTCTAAAATTTCTTGACTCTCTGACTCCTTGGGACATCCTTTCTTAGTAAGTTTTATTAAGTTTTCTATCCCTTTTCCTATCCAAAAAAAAAAAAAAAAATATATATATATATATATATATATATATATATATATATATATATATCTTCTTTGTACTTCAGGCAGGTAGTGGAAATTAAACTTAGTAGAAATTTGGTGGTTTTAAAGAAGCTAATTCAAAAAATAAATACCAAATTGGGAAGCATAAATATACCCACATTCTCTCCTATCCATACTTAGCACTATCTTGCATATGCAACCCAACTTCATGTAACTACCCAGTTACATTCTGTCATAGTTGTCTGTGATCTAGGAGTAGATGAAAGAAAAATGTAATTATTGTATTAGCTCATCCTTGAATTCATTCACAACATTTACAGGAATCATGCTGTGTACAAGAAACCATACTAACTGTCAACAACCTAGGGTCAAACAGAAAGGTTCCCTGCATGCAAGGAAATTAGAACCTATTTGTAAAGATAAATATACAAGTTTCTAATGCTGCTACCTGTGCTGCCATGGTAAAGAAATGCACATGTGATAGAAACTGCAGTTAGAATGGAAATTTCTTCTTGAATTAGAGCTCTGCTTTTCCAGGTATATTCAGGCACTTACAGCATCAGTGGCATCTAGTTGTAGCCAAACTGCTTGATTCCTCATTGGCCAATCCAGCTTCTCCAACTAAACTTCCTGCCCCTGGCATGTTTGCCCTTGGGCCATAGAACCTGTGACTCAGAGCTCGAAAAATGAGTAGAAACAGCATTGAGCCTGGGTCCCAAGAGCATGAAAGGCAGCCTACCACATCAAGGAGCAGTATTCCTACCTTCTTGGCCTCCATCAATCCTGACAGAAGCTGCTCTCTCCTTGATGTCCCCTGTATCCAGATATCTCCTTACTTCTGCCAAAGTTTCTTCCCATAATTTCTGCTTTAATGAAACCATTTGACCATCTTGAGTTAGGGTGAGCTAAGTTTTGGGTCTGAGAGATCTGACCCAGTAGTTCTTAATATCTAGAGACAGCTATACAGCTCCACAGCTTCTCATCCAAATTATTTAGGGTCACGCTTGTGGTGGAGTTCAGAATGTTTGTTGTGTAGGAAAATGATACGGCTCATTAGCACTTCATAGTCAAACCCAGTATTTCTTATTAAATATGAATGTTCATATATGAATATTCACACTAAGGAGAAATAAAACTGTAAATACCTTCAGATCAAGATTTATGTCCAAGAAGTTCAATATTGCCATCTGAAATCCTGACTTTCAGAGCAGCTCTTTGGAATTTGGAGTTGTAGATGAGGGATTGTGGATTTATATCAAAAATGTTATTAGCATCCAAGAAGTCAGCAGACAAAGGCATTGTGCCCCAGTTAAAAAACTTGAAGGCTCACCAAACCAACTTGATGCTGCTTGCTCATAGGAAGCAAGAAATATGTGATGTAAATGTTCTTGAAAAATTGAGTGTCCCTTTAAGGAATAATTGCCATGAGTAACTCTTAGGGAAGTAATAATTATGTATTAAAATTCTAGACCAGCTTCACCATCCTCTGAGGACCCTGCACTTCCCTCTGCAAATTTTAAGTTCAGAATAACCAACCACTTCCTTCCTAACATCAGCAAGCAACCTTACGTTAAGTCCCCAGAGCCTTCCCTGGTAATCTGAAGGCTTATAGAACCTCTCCCCTAAGCCTGAGTCCAAGCCTCCCAGATTGTTCATTCTGAAAACCTGCCTCAGAAATCTCAGTGCCTTCTAAGCACAGCCATAGATTGCTCCCAAACCCAGAGGAGGGCAGGCAGAATCCAACTGCAAGAAAAGTCTCACCAGGAATATTCCGACATCTATCATTGGAAACATCAGATGACCAAAGCGCCTTGAGGCCACTGAAGTCCAGATCCTCTGACATGAAAAAATCAGCCTCCCTGGTGGTCTTTCCCATAACATTCTTTAAATCATATGGTGCCTCAGATCTAAAGGAGAGGACTTCACCTGGGCCTCAGCTCCTCCACCGTTAGGGGTTCAGAGAAGAAGGGACACTACCCCCAGTATGATACCTCTGTGCAAGAGAATAAAGGCCTTTCTGTTCAAAATTACCTCCTGGGGCTGGGATTGTGGCTCAGTGGTAAAGCACTCACCTAGCATGTGCAAGGTGCTGGATTCGATCCTCAGCACCACATAAAAATAAATAAATAAAATAAAGATATTCTGTCCAACTACAACTTAGAAAAAAAATTTAAAAAGAAAATCGCCTCCTTCCCTGTCCTCTCCATTGCTGTTGTATCAAATTCAACCAATTTTCCTTCCTCCCATCCAGTCTGTTTTAGTGTAACACACATAGTCCTAATGCACAGTAAGCTTTCTTCTCACATGAGACATTTCCAAGAAGAAACTCTGTGCTCCTGAGGCATTTTCCAAACAGGCTTAATTCTCTTGGCACAAGTTTAAAGCATTGAACAGTCCATTCCCGGGTGCTTGGTTTTTTTTATTTTTATTTTTATTTTTTTCATCCTACTGTTTGCCTTTTTGTTCCTTATTTCCTGACACTTAAAGTATATGTCACCCTAGACCTCCTCACTCATCCTGCAGTTGATTTGAAAACCTCTGTCTGGCATCCCTGGTTCCATCCTGACACTTGTTCAGGATACATGTCTGTCTCCCTTTCTCTTATTCTAAGCACAGGCTACCCCAACGTCAGCCCTGGCCTTAAAGTTGGAATAAACCAGGCTATGGCTGCCTCTCTCCCTACTTCCTCCTTTTGCCTTGGGAATCCCTCCCAGAGCATCCTATAGCCTACTGTGGCTGCACCCTGCCCCCAGGCACTAAGTGGGGAGCACATTTAGGAATCCCCACTCCTAACTTGTAGGGAAAGGGAGCCCCATTTCACCATCTTCTACCTCTAACTTTTGAAACCTAGAGATGCACCTTTATACCTTAACATGGAAATACTTGGTCCTTTGTCTGAGTTAGTCACAGATCAGATTGGGGGAGAGAATTTTTTAATGCGAATCCACATGAGGCCTGTCTTAAGCTAATTTAATATGTTAAATGCAGTAACTCCAACTAGATTTTCAAAGTTTTGCCTAAGGAGAGGACCAATCTAGACTTTAATTCATATATAAGAATTGTTGATTTTTTTATAGCTATTTATGAAGTACTTAAGAGCCCTTGAAAATTATGGGGGAATTTTTGTTTCTGTGTATGTATATCAGACTAATTTCACTGAGGCCTTATTTTTCTATTGATTTGTTTAATGAACCATACCTGCCTACATCCTCAGTGGTTCTCAGATTTACAATCACCTGGAAGACCTGTTAGAATGCTGGAGCTGAGGAGTGTCATGTTTAACTAGTTCCTAGCAGTGCTGCTTCTGCTGATCCCAGGACCTAAATGGGAAAACCATACTCTAGGAGTAAAATAATGCCAAGATTCAGTGGCTACTGCTTTTACCACCTCAGTCAGATTTCCAGTGTGTGATATCTTTAGTCACCCAGCCTTGGCCTCACACCTTGACACTATCACTCATTTTAACTACTTGAAGTAAAAATGCATTGCTCTTTCAAAAGCAGAGTTTGGGGGTCAGATTTTAGCAACTTAGTGTCAAGCATGAATCCACCCAGAAAAAAAAAAGTTAAGTTGAGTCACAATGAAATTCAACATCAAAATAAGAACTATATTCTACAATTTCAGAGTCTCAATAACCAACAGTGTTTATGTTTTCCATGGATGTACTGAGGTGGAGAATAACCCTGTTCCCACCTGTTTTGACAGCTACTTTTAAAGGCCTGGGAAATCCACTGAACACATCTGCTTCTCATGTGTATATGTCCTCAAGATGCAAGAATGTCTCCTTGTAAAGCATTTTCTATCTTGGCATGATGGTGGCATTTTTGTGACTTATTTCAAGTGCTGTGTTATTAAGGTTTCATTTTATATTGTTTTTTGCTTGTGTGCTTCTTTAATGGTTTGCTTCATTTTTTAGTGTGATTTTTAAGATGTCTTAGATGTGAATTCTTCCTATGAAAATGTATCAGTTTTACACTGAAAATGTTATAATGAAAATCAGAATATTATGACTCAGTGAACAGAAATTCACTTTACAGTCAACTTTTTGAGCAACATATCTTTTATAAAGTACATTGTAACCTAGTTTTATTTTAAGAGTATAGTACAAGTGTGAGCAGGTTCTTTGAGTAGAAAACTTTCCCACAGTTTTGCTGGATCTTGATGGTTGCTTCACAAGAGAGTGAAGAAGTCATGTCCCATGTCTCCTGGGAATGATGAGACACAGAAATTATTGTCACGGAACGACTAGTCACTCTGAGAAGGTGCCTATAAAGCTTATCGCAGAGAAACAGGAATTAGCATGCATGTGAAGGAGAGAGTCTTGAGGCTTTGGTGCTGGGTGCTATCATTTCTCCTAATATCAACTTGTGCACCCCTTTATCC